ATTCGATAATGCTTACAGTGAGAACTTGCAATGCTAGTTTTTCCATGGGAATATATTTGAGTGGCATCGCTTGGTTGGACAGATCGATCCAAGAGGCTGCACGGTGGAGACAACCAACTTTTTCCTTCATAATTTTCAGAGGCAGCTCTTATTGTCTTTCGCTGGAACTGTTTTCGAATAAGAATTGGAAAGTTCCTTGCAGTTACAAAGGTTTGAAATTCTCAAGAATTCAATGGTGATGGCTGGAGTACTATGGCAAATATACTTGCAGATATGTGTAGAGGGAAACAAAAGATTGATAGCCACTTAGGTGAGAACAAAGTAGAGAAAAATTGAGATGGTTGCGATTCTTATAAAAATGCTTTGCTTTTGATGGAAAGAGGGAATCTGGTGCTAATGATAGATTAAGTTTGTACAACAATGACGAGAAGAAATGAACAAGAGTAGTAGGTTGCTTAAGGGAAAGCATTTTATCACGTGGAAGAGATTCAAACTGCAATGACTATACAATGGAAGTTGGTGTGAAATTGCGTCCTTTCCAGGCAAATATGCATTCTTGTTTGGCTAGAATTCTGCACAGGTTGAGGAAATCTCAAAAAGGAGGTATGCATGGATGATCTGGTCAGGGTTAGGTTGCAGAAATGGAAACCTGATTCCAACTCAACCCATGACCATATACCTTTTTTAAGAGGCTGGATTGCTATTGAAGGTCTACATTTTCCTTTATGGATGGAGGAATTTTTCGAAGAATTGGGGAATGGTGTGGTGGTCTAGTTGGTATTGATGAAGATATAAAAAATTTTCTAATCTGTTACGGGCAAGAATTAAAGTGAAGAAGAACAATTTTGGATTAAATCTTATTGCTTTTGATGTCGAATTTCAAGGGAGTATTTCCTTTCAAGAATGGGAGGTTTGCTCTCTTCTAATTGGAATTTGCTGCAAACACAGGGTAGTATAGGAACTCTGTACCCTAGTTGAGAGGTTGAAGATGATGGGCAGAAGACCAACGGTGTACTTAGCTGAAGGGGGAAGGAGGTTGTATGCAACTTTGATGATACTACAGAGGGCATTAGTGGAGTTTTGGGCGTTCTTGCTTTGATTTCTCTATGAAAAATGGGTTCAGAGTTAATCTTGGTGGTTATGCATTAAATGACAGCAATAATCAGGATTTGGAAGGGGTAAAGGAATTTTTAAATTTTAAAACAGAATTTAATGGACAGCTGGGCGTCATTAATATTGATATTAGGCGGGCTTATGTGATCAAGTCTGAATTGGGCTTGCCATGTGTTGGGCTTAATTTTTTTTTTTTTGATATGCAACGATATTTTTATACTACAGGGGAAGGGGAAGGGGAAGGGGAAGGGGAAGGGGGAAGGGGGAGGGGGACTTAAATCATCAACCTGCCACTCCATTATAGAGGGCAAGTAGAATCATATCCAATCTTCCTACCAAGCCAATCCTTTCGGCACTCGGTTCCTTCGTCTTAACTCAAGTTCAGTTTATTTTTTCGATTCAGAACTCGGGGGCTCAACAAGGTAACCTAACCATTAAGAAGAAGTATTCACTTTGATTGCAGACTTATTCGCCCTAATCAATAAGCGCGAGATACTTCTCAAAGTTAGATCTACGGTCGAGCTACTATTAGGTTTGTATCGCGGAAGGATTGATTGAGCCTAGTTTGGTTGGGCTGTAGAAAGGGCTGGATAACTGGTCAGTTTTAAAAAACCAATGGATCTGCTGAATAAAACAAGGGACGCCATATTGCATTTGACTTCAAAGGCCTTGCTCTCTTAGGGCTCAGTTTGAGAAGTATGGCGATCCCACAATCAGCTCATCTTTTGTACTGGTCCATTTGTTTTAATCTTGGTGGTTGTCCCCATATATTTAAGGATCTACTTACGTTGTCTTGTGTGTCTTATTAAGTCTAGTTTTCTATGGAGAACTGAATCTGCTGGATTCTACTTTAGAAAGAAATTTACTATATCATGTTTAGGGTCTTTAGCCCTTTGATAATGCCTTGAGTAAATTTTGGAAAATCATGATGAACTTTCCTAAGTGACATTTTGGTCTATATGAGCTACTTTAGCAAAATCTAGAAGATGACTTTGTAGAAAAGTCTTGGTGTCAATTAAATTTCTTCTAGTACTTTTAACAATCTGATAGAGAACGAAAAGGGATTGAATGAGCTTAAATTAAAGAATTAAATTTTATTATTTGTTTTAGTATTATTTTATTAGTTAAGGAATATTTGTTTGACTAGAAGTATTAATTAGAGTTAATTAAGAAATTATTATAGAGTTTTAGTAGGATAAGGATTTGAGAGTTTGATTATGAAACTCTTTTAGTATTTTAGTAGGAAAGTAGTTTTTATTTTAGTAGGGGACTTGACCTATAAATAATAGTGTAATTCCAACTATTTTTAATTAGAGAGAGATTATGAATAAAAATTGAGTATTCTCTGTAGAGATTTGTGTGTTTCTTCACCGATTCCTTGCGAGGATGAGGTAAACCCCTTTCACCCCTTCTTCTTTCTTCTTCTCTTTCTATTCTGTGAATTCTAGACCTTCCCGATCTATATCAATTTGGTATCAGAGCCTAATTTTGATTCGTACACAAAAAAAAAAAAACTGTTTATTGCGGCACTGTTCATTGGTACTGTTTATCGGCGCTGTCGAGTTAAAAAAAAAAACTCTCCTAACAGATTTAGAAAATTGTAGCAACATCCCAACTGTTTCAGAAATTACAGAAACACCCCAGAAAGTTTCAGAAGTTGTAAAACCACCACCAAAAATTTTAGAAATTGCAGAATCTTCCCCTCAGTAGTTCTAGAATTGCAGAAACAGCCCCAACATATCCATAAAATTACAGAATTATCTCCAAAAAGTTTTAGAATTTCCTTTTGATTAAGATGGTTTCCAACGCCGAATTAAATGCTAAAGTGGAGGTTTTATCTCAAGCACAAGTTGATTCACAAAATGCCATGAATGAGAGGATGGATTCACTAGAGGCGTCCATAACATCACTGAAGGAGGTCATAGAAGCTTATCTCTTAGATAAGAAGGGCAAAGGAGTAGAGAAAAACGTCGATAATAGTCCATCTTCAGTCATCAATCCTCCACTGGTACTTATACAAGCCCCTCCACCACGTGCTCCAGTTCAATTGAATGATGAGCTTAAATTAGATATCGTTGATGAGCCTAAAAATTCTCTTCATCATACATCAATTGCTTTTGATAAGCTGATCTCAAAGGATCTTCTTACAGAAGAAGTTAAAGGAGTTTTCAAAGGGTGCCACTACAGATGGAGTTGTTATTTTGTCTCCACTGGATTATATGCTTCCTTCACCTATAATGGTGTATGTGGATAAGACTGTGATGAATGCAATGCACGAAAGAATTATTTTCTACTATGGAGATCTACAATGCTATTTTTTGGAACACAAGCTTCTTCAGATTTTTTGGAGTACTTGTGGCCTTCCAACTCTTAGGAGAAGAGTTTTTTTCAGTCGAAAAGAATTGATAAAGAATGAACGAAAAGGGATTGGATGAACTTAAATTGAAGAAATGAATTTTATTATTTGTTTTAGTATTATTTTATTAGTTAAGGAATATTTGTTTGACTGGGAGTATTAATTAGAGTTTGACTAGCAAATTATTATAGAGTTTTAGTAGGATAAGGATTTGAGAGTTTGATTATAAAACTCTTTTAGTATTTTAGTAGGAAAGTAGTTTTTATTTTAGTAGGGGACTTGACCTATAAATAATGGTGTAATCCCAACTATTTTTAATTAGAGAGAGATTATGAATAAGAATTGAGTATTCTCTGCGGAAATTTGTGTATTTCTTCACCGATTCCTTGCGAGAATGAGGTAAACCCCTTTCACCCCTTCTTCTTTCTTCTTCTCTTTTTATTTTGTGAATTCTAGACCTTCCCGATCTACATCACAATCTTTATTGGATTTTCCTTTGTGTGCAGGAACACCATATGTGGGTGGAATTTATTTTCTTGATATAAGGTTTCCAAGTGATTATCCGTTTAAACCTCCAAAGGTACGCTCAATGAATTAGCATTGTTTATAAATACTGTCAATGCATTCAAAGGTTCCTAAATCATAGGAAAAGAAGTCGTTTTAGAGCATTGCTGTCATATGTTTTAACAGTAAGGGCAATTTTGATTCCATAAAAAACTTGTGCATATAAGAATAAAATAGAAGTCATTCTTCTTCTATATCATACAATTTATTTAGTAGTTGACTGGTAAAGTTTCTTAAGTGTTCCCTACTCCTAACTTTGACCTACCTTAATTTTATAAATTGGATGTCACATCGGGTCTTTCTGATATTATTCTGGGAACGTGCCCATTAGATAGCTTTGCCAAAAGTAAATTGGCAAGTTCTTTGAGAAACAATTTTCAAATTAGCTGCTAGAATGGCATTTTCTCAAAAATTATTATGCTTCCTTATGTGCTGAAACATTGGGTAGTAGCTTAGCTAAATGTAACATTGAAAGTATTGTTAATGAATAATACGTTTGTTAACGAAATATGGAGTTGGAATCACAGAAAAAAAATGTGTCATTTGCTGCTTTGTTGGTTATAAATGCGATGGGAATCTGATTATATTCCATTACGGTAGACGTAAACGCAAATTTTGATGGGATTTTGGATAATGTATCTTTGAGCATTATCTTGAAATTGATTTTAATTTTTAAATTTATTAGTTGATAAATGGTAGGAATAATAGATTTGTATTAGGGCTCTTAGATTAGTTATTTGGTAGTTATTATAAAAGGGGATGGATTTACAATTGTGTCAGACTTGGGTTATTGAATAATTGCAATCTCTTTCCTTCCCAGTTACTTTCTTCTCGTCTCATATCCATTTCTTCTCCCAATCTACATCAAGTTGGTATTAGAGCTTAATCTTGATTCACAGTTCTGGTGGTCATCTTCTCATTGATAAATCTAACTGCCACTGTTGCAATCTGCACCATACTCACAGATTTAAGGTTCGTCACTGTCATTGTCCATCTTCATCATTGCAATCGTCCACAGGCCCTTGAGTTCGTCATATCCCAGTGCTGCATAAAAATCCATTGCTGAGACTTGCACATAGGAACCAAATTGGGTTGCGAAGGAGACCTGATGTGAATCAAGCTTCGGTGTGGTTGCTGCATATAGTTTTTTTGCTCCATTGTCATTAGATTTTTGACCTACAGCAAACCCAACCAATACCAACTCTCGTCATTGCCATTGTTGTCACTATTCAGCGCTGCCTTCAGTTACTGTATTTAAGCGAGTCATCGTAGCCATCTTCAGCCACAACTATCATCTTCTTTACCGGGGGAACCAGAACCTTATTGCGGTTGTGGTTTGTGACCCATGAGATTTTGAATTCATCCAAAGACCATCATAAAGCATCAAAATAGCACCTTACGCATCAGATCAGAGCTTCATATAGCTTTCTCACTAACATGAGTTCTCCCGTTGAGAATTAGTGATTAGCATTTATATGGGTGAGTCAAAAAAAAAAAAAAAACCCAGTCTCTTTATTCCTTATCCCATTTTGTTTGCTTTTACCGCATTCACTTGTTACCTCGTACACCGTTAAACCCATTTGTTTGCTTGTCCCACATTATTCCTATGTCAAAGTCCTTTTCACGCAACCCATTTTAATTCTCTTCATTGCGTTCTTGCTCGTGTGTGGAAATTAGCATTGATTTATGGTTTTCATTGTTTGGTTTACTTTTTTGGCATTCAACCATTTTGAGCTCAATTCTATATAAGATTCACCATGGCACTTCATGCACTTTCTAAATCCCATATTGCATTAGACGAAGTTAAGAGGAATAAGACAACTTTCTCAATTAACCACTCAACTTGCCCACCTATCTAAGATTGTTGAGAAACATCCAATAGAGTATAATCAGGGCAAGTCATTAGTTTTGTGAGTGCAAAATAAGAACTATCCTCGATACATTGTATGTGATTGACGCCCCAAGGGGGGGGGATGAGTAGGTTTTAGTACTTGAATGTGTAATTTATGCCCAATTAAAAACCTATTTGACTCAATTACCAATTAATAATTCAATTGATCCCCCAACGACTAAGACCTAATGTTACGCCCCAATTTCCATAATCTATATATCATCCAAGCATGAGAGCATGCTAAAATACCCATAAAATACATAAATAATTCATCATTCAACAACTAACTCAATTGAAATCTCAAATAAAACATAATTGAATTCATCAAGTTACATTAAAACCCAAAGTAATCATTCTCCAACCATTAACTAAAACAAAATATCCATAACATGATTAAACCATTAAGTTTTAAAAGTCAAAACTAAAGAAAGCATTTCCAACCCTCCAAATCTGGATCCACATCCTGATCCACCTCAGCAACCCAATCTACCTGCTTACCTAGCCTGGAGTCCTCCTCAATACTGAAATATGAAAAATGTTTATGGTAGGTTGAGCAATAAAGCCTAGTAGGAAAACTTCTCAAATTCAAACAAAGTTTTGAGATCCTCAAAAATAGGTAGGTCTCACTTTGTAAAATAATATATAAAAATTTGAAATAAAATAGTGGCAATTAATAAGATCTCAAGTTTACGGTACACAATAAAATTCATGAAGAAGTAAAATTAGTTTTCAAGCCATATATCACAATTAATATATCTTATCTACGCAGGTTAAATATCGTGAATCTACACATCGAGAATATCTTGACCTACACACACCCCACCAAATTATCACCAAATTATCAATTCAATGCTTGCAAGGATAAACCGTTTTTAAGAGGTTTGTATACTGGCACATCGACATTGACGTAACTTCCCAAAAATAGTATACTAACCTTCTGCCTTGATGATCGTGAGTGAATAGTGAATTCTTAAACCTTGTAAAAAACAAGGCAATTCCATTACGAGTGTTAAGAAACCTTCAAATCCCTCAAGGTAAGAAACTCATCGACTTTATGATATCTAGTTGAATGCCACCCATGTTCATCACACACACCCACACAAGAGATGTTTTCCATAATTTTTCATAAAATCCATTTATAAACAAGAATTATGGTTTCACAACTTTCCAAAGAGAATACTTAAAAAAAAATATGTAAGAGATCTTCAAGAAACATATTTACATTGATCATAATAAAAAACTAGGGTTTTTGAATCAAGAACGAATAAATCTTGGATTTAAATCCTATAGTTTCAAGAAAACGATTCACGTAATTGAAAGGAACTTCAAATAGTTGTTTTCTATCATATAATTTAAAGACTAAGATCAAAAAGCATATAAATAATAACCCTAGACTCAATGAATGAGTTTGAGAAAGAACCTTATTGGAACGTGAGTCTCAAGATCTATTGCTGATGCATATAATACTAAATACAAAAATTATTTGTTAACCCTACACGCGGAAATAGGGTTTACTTTTAACGATTATAACACGAACAAAAACTGATGCAGATCGAACAGTCGGTTTGATGGACCTCACGATTTTCTATCATATGTCCTTTAATGCCAAAAACTCGAATGAAGTGTGGGTTGCAATCATCTGAATTTTCTGTCTTGCTCTCTTTTTTTGCCACTTTTAAATTTGAATATAAATTATGGTTAAGAGAATCAGAAAGTGCGTGTATTTATAGGCTATAATAGAGACCTTAAGTAGAAATAAGGGTCGGACTTCCAATGGGGCTAAGAATCTTATGTCCAACCCAGAACAAACATCTTGCGGTTCATTAATAATAAGTTTGTTTACTAAAAAATTATTATTGATCTCCCGGTCTTATCTCAAGACTATATTTTGAGCTCCTTGTTATTGTATGCTTAATAATTTTTTCAAGTTTACGATTATAGATGTCCGTCATTTAATTAAATTGCTGATAATTATATTTAATTGACTTCTTTTTATTCTTAAAATCTTACCCTCAACTTATATATCTTGTCGAATAATTAAATCTACCTATAGGTTTGCTATGCACAAAACTTATAAGTTTCTTCAAGAGGACATCATTAACCCATTTAAATATTGAAAAACCAGTCATCAACCCATTTAAATGTCGGGACGTGGTGTCTTTTAATAATTAATTTTTACCATACAAATAATATCATTTCTTAATTCATCGAGTTTGTTAACTTAAATATGAATTTCACTTTTTGATGAAGTAAAGTAACAATCATTATATACGCGTGTCCATTAAATATTTTAAGATTAAAAGGTCAAGTAATCATAATAACCATGAGTTATTTATTTTCTTATTTAGTTAGTAAAAAGATAATAACTTCAAAAAGGGTTGTTTAATACATAAAGTGTACTAGTATAACAATCCGAAACATTAGACAGTCTCCTATAGCCAAAAAAGATTATGCCAGAAGATCAATCCTACTAATGGTGTTTTTAATTTCATCTAAGAATGTGAACCTTTATTCATATCATACAAGGATCTGATAATCTGGTCCTCTGTATATAAGTTTAACTTTACACACTAGATTATCTACAATGTAAATAAAAGACACACATGCATACCATATATTTAATATAATGTAAATATTTTACCCACGTAAATTCTCATTAAAATAGAAAATGATGAACGTTTATTAAATAATAAACTGAGTTTCTCTACAAGAAGTATACTTTTAGAATATAACTCAATTAAACCCTTACCTTAATTTTTGTAGATCTTGATCCTAACATGTTTTGTTGTGATTTCCACGTGTCAATCTTTCAAAGTTCTCTCAACACTCCTTAGTCTCATAGGGTTGAAAACTGACCTAAAGAACGTCCATGAGGTATTTATGGGGTCAAAAATTGTTCAATCAGCGTGGGCAGTCAGCGCGAGCTTGATGGCGATAAAACGCACTCCTACTTTAGAACATGGATTGACGTTCGAACGTACATGGCGTTCGAACGTGCCTCACTTCTAGTATCTTTTGTTCAGTCTAGCGCGTTCGAACATGAACTGCGTTTGAATGTACTCTAGTTTCTACATGAACTTCTAAGGTAGTTTTGGCCTAGTTAAAAGTTAGGTTCACTTAATTTTCATAAAAAAACACTTTTTTAGCCATTGAAGTCTAGTTTCTAATGTCCCAAAAATCAAATCAATCGGATATCAGGATAAAAAGTTATTGCTAAAATATTAAGGTAGTGTCTAATTCTTTTCAACCAACTTTCAAACTTCTCATACACCCCATATCATCTATCCTTAATTCATTTTTTTTTAATCCAATGCATGATAGTCTAATATAATATAAAATAATTACATGGGGGCTTATGCCTAATGACCAATTAGTAAATACGTGCAAATACTCAAATTGATTCCATGTAGCACAACACTATCCACAAATCTTATCACTCCAAATCCCTTCCACTAGTTGTCAATTGATTTCAAAAATTAAAGTGGCCAACAACACAAAACGGATTCTCTTAAGCATTCAATCAACAAATGAAGGAAAGTAAAAATTGCAAATGTGTAAAAGCAAGCATTCACAAGATACACAAATTCCACGTGAAAATCCTTTTGGAGAAAACCACGGGACTATAGTGCACGGTCCATCTAAACCGATCTAATAGTGTTAACCGATTTAATGTTAGATTACTGGTTTGAAAGTGTTAACCCTTAACCAATTCTATGGTTAGAAGCTTCTTCCCTTGAGTTTTAACTCTAGAAATTTATCGCAAACATCTTGACAACTAGCTTCACTATGCAATGAATCAAGCTCCACGATTTGTCCTTGAAATCCACCTTTGATCCTTGTGTAGTCTCCTTGGATTCTTTGTGTTGTTGGTTTTGGAGGTATACAAGATTTTTCAACAATTCTTTCTTAAATCCTTATATGAATTAGAAGTAGATCATGTAGGGATTGAGTTTTGATTTGATCTAGGGTAAGTTCTTTCTTGACTCGGTCGCCTCTCTTAAACCCTAGAGTCTCTTGTGTCTCTCTGACCTCTACCGCGTCTGAAAAATCGACCCCTATTTATAGGAATAAGAAATAAGAGATTAATTGGCGTGTAAAAAACTACTGCCCGAGATGCACCACTCGAGCGCTAAGCAGTGGGACCAAATTCTACAGCCCTTATTTGATGGACCACTTAGCTAGAGCGCTAACCATGGGTCTTTGGTTCAATAGTACTCCTTACCTTATGAAAGCTTTACCTTCTGGAGGTAAAGGGTTCAAACCCCGTTCCCCTTCACCCTCCCAAAAAAAAATTTAAAAAAAAAAAAAAAAAAGTTTTCCTCAAAACCCAAAACTCTTTTTCAACTCTCTAAGTAACAAGGTGACACTTAAAAGGTTCAATTCCATGACTCATTTCAATAACAC